TTAGGATGTTCAGCTAAAGTTCTAATATCTGCCTGAGATCTTGCAGTAAGTTTCAGCTAGTTAGTTATATTTGATTCGAGTCAATCTCTTGTCAATAATCGTGCTGCCGTTGTGGAACAGTCTGGGCATAGTAAAGTACTCTGTAATTGAACGGAAAAACGAAGCTTTGAGTCGACGAAGTGTTCAAGATTGATCGACTGCGAAATCTTGTGTAAAACACAGGCATTCGAGTTGTTGTTGGATGAAATTATTGTACTTGTATGGAGCTCTCCTAATTGCCATACTGCTGTCTTTTAATTTCTAGACAGAGCCCAAAAGGACTTTCGATGAATTACACGATGAAGCTCAGTTAAGACGCAAATGTGTTGATGGTCAACTCATGATCTTTTATACCACTGACTTGAAGCGAAAACTTGCTCCAACAAATGAAAAAGAAAGATACGGGAAGAGAAAACGACAACATATTCAAATGATATCAGAATCTAAGCAACAAACAATTGCTGTAAGACTGACATATTTTAATTACCTTGAATAGATGCACCTTCCCAAATCTCTATCATTTAGATTCATCCGTTAAATTTGCTAAGTAAAGATTTGTCCAAGCTATCTGAAATGGACTGGTGTTATCTCACCAACGTGATACAGACATATCAACATTATTATTTGCATCCGCTTTTAGAACTACAGAAGGAGGTCTTATCACAAATCGAAAAAGTACCAATTAAAATGGGAATACCATGTGTCAAGGTTTATTTAGTAGGACGATCGAATTATGAGAAATCAGTTTTGTCTTTTTTTAAACATATACCTGACTATCGGCATTTAACAACCGACGATAGACGAACATTGATACAACGAAATGGAAGGTATACAGGTTTGTGATTCCTCTCACTTCGCTATATCTCCAGAAACCTATAAATTTTCTTGCTATCAAGGTGGACCCGATCTCATCGAAGTGAGAAGACAACTTTTTAATTCAAGTACTTTTTGCCCCAACGGATCAACTCTTTCTTTTATAAAGTACATTCATGGCGATAATATTGTTAGTCGAAGAATAACTGAATGGTCGAGATATTACTGCATTTTCTCACACGATCCTCTGATCACATACTTACTGCCGATCATTATCATGTTCTCATCCAGTTTTACGATAACAACATTCAACGATGACTATCATGACTATTCAACACCAATATCTGAACTAAACATATTTCACATACAAAATGTATACATGGCCTTGTTATGGAAATACATGCTATATCGCCTAGGTGAAGTGGAAACAGTCTGTATTATGTCGAGATTTATCGGTATCTGCTTGCTGTCGTTAAGTATTGGATACGATATTGACCAGCGATTTCAAAGCAATGAAGATTTCAGCGAAATAATTAAATTAGTTCGTGATTTATCGTTCAAAGTCTGATGATTCTTACGATACGAAAAGACTTTGTTTCAAGCGTCAACGTGTTTTGCACAAGTCCTAATGTAACAAAATAACATATGGCTCTAATAGTGGCAGTTACGCACTTTATTCACAAACTTTCGATTGAATAAGACACAGAAAGGTTTAACATGTCGTTTTTTTCTCCTACCGTAGAATGAACAGATTATTAAATAAATTGAGAACTTTCAGTAAGATATTTTCATCAAAAATACATTAATTCCATATTTTCAGAATGTAAGGAATGAACACAAAAATGTGATCGAATAAATTACAAACGTCGTTCGAATTGTTGTGGATAACATAGTAAAACTCATGTGTAAACCCTACGATCATACAACTCACTGTATGCATCCAGGCGGACACTAGGTGAAAAAATGAAAATCGACTTTTCGACGATTCAGATAATGATTAATATACTTCAAGTGATGCTCTATTGGATGTACAACAAATTATGTTACAAAATTTATGTATCGCGGGAAAATAGCTAATCAAAAATTAGCCTGAAATAGTAGTATCGGTGAGAAAAATAAAATTTTTGATAGCAGCCAATGGAGTTGTACTTGAAAACGACATGTATTCTAAATTTGTATGGCATCAGCTATAGATTAGTAAAACGAAATTTTAAATTGGACTTATGATAACTGAGAAATTTAAAAAAAGTTTTTCTCAAGCGATTTTCTGAAGGATTAAGTTTAGTAAAGTGAGCGCGCGAAAGTAAGCGAAGGTCCAAATTTAATCGAACTTTCATAGAATGTTCTCCTATATATCCTGCACCTACGGTGAATGCGCAAAAATGCGCAAATGTTTCTAAAGCATACAACAGCTTTTCCAAAAAACCTGAGTTTTTCAGGTATTTTGCATTTTTCTCGGTTTAGAAACCTTTTTATTCATTAAAAGTGACATATGCGGAACTAGCGCAAAAACTGCATCATATAATGCATAGCTTCTTAATTGTACTGGAGAAAAATTTTCTATCAGACTGAATTATAGAGTTGAAAGCCTCCCCACAGCACATTTTGCCTAGAATCTGGATATTTGTTTTAGCAATAGTGTGAAAGTCTATAAGCACTTTTTTTATAGATTTTCGAATATGCTCTTTCCAATGGTGAAGTTTTCGAAATGCAAAAATATTTCTTGTGGGTTTTCCAGAGACTGGATCTCTAGAAAACTCATAGGAAATTATTTTTGTGTTCTGGAAATCTCACCATTTGAAAGAGCGTATTCGAAAACCTATAAAAGAATGTTTATAAAATTTCTTACCACTTCTATAGCATATGTCCGTCTGCTCTATAGTAAAATGCACATTGTGCAACTATCAGTAAGCATTGCTCAGTTATCAATAGTAATGAACACAAAACATATATAGGACAATCATTAAGAGAATACATTGTGTTACAGAAAAAGTTTCTTTCCAAAAACTGAATAATGTCTCATTTCTTCATGCGTTATGTGAAAAGTAGCGCATGAATTTACACGAAATAGTAAGATCAGAATTGAAATCTATTTAAAGTCTCTAATAAATATGTATCACAACACTAGCTCATTATAGCCATAAAGCCTACCGACAGATGCAGAATAGAGATATGCACCGGTACCGGCCCAAAAATTTTTTTTCCACTCGTACCCGACCGGACCCGACAGTTATGTACCCGTAACCGACCCCACCCAACCCGAAGATTGGGTACGGGTACGAAGTTGTCGGGTACGGATTCTAATCTTTTTTAATTTACCCGAAAGGCGGAAATTCTAGTGGAAAACTCACAAAATTTTAGTGAAAAAATACAGGAATTTAACTAACATACATGAAGCTTTAAAAAAGAATTACTTGAGAACGTAATGATGACTTTTGTATCTATATAAAACATTTTGTTGAATCTCTTCTCAAAGTTCTTTGCATAGTGTACAATAACATTTTGTTTTTATCTTCAGATTCAAACAATATTTTCTCGTTGTAAATTTCAAAGAGCCTTTGTCTAACTAATGGATTAAATGCTCATTTTTGTCCTTCGACTTTGATTAGGTGTAAAAACTATGACCTACGGTATTATTTTATATAATTTAGATCTTTTATCTTGAAAAAGATTTTTTTCAGATTAATTGAGATTACCATGATTAGAAAGGCAAGAGCATCGAAATTCAAAATCTCCTTTTTTTTCTGAAAATTTTTGTACGAAAGTCGTAATAGTAGCTTCCCCATAATACAAGCACTCCCTAAAAATTTTGAACGCTTGAACAGTTTAAAAGCCCCGGAGGCTTCTATTATGAGGGGGAGGTACAAAAATGGTACCCGTTCACATCTCTATTCTGCATCTGTCGGTAGGCTTTATGGCTATAATGAGCTAGTGTTGTGATACATATTTATTAGAAATATAATAATAATTGCAGCTGTTTTGAACTTCATACCTTTATTTGTTGATATTTCGACCTTTAACCGGTCATTTTCAAAAACATCAAAAAACATGTTTTTGAAAATGACCGGTTAAAGGTCGAAATATCAACAAATAAAGGTATGAAGTTCAAAACAGCTGCAATTATTATTATATTTTTGACTCGAAAGTCGTTGCCCTCGTACAGAGATATTTATTAGAGACTTTAAATAGATTTCAATTCTGATCTTACTATTTCGTGTAAATTCATGCGCTACTTTTCACATAACGCATGAAGAAATGAGACATTATTCAGTTTTTGGAAAGAAACTTTTTCTGTAACACAATGTATTCTCTTAATGATTGTCCTATATATGTTTTGTGTTCATTACTATTGATAACTGAGCAATGCTTACTGATAGTTGTATGATCGCAGGGTTTATACATGAGTTTTACTAACGTTGAAAACCGTGCAACCTGTCTAGCCATCTATGGTGCTGATGTTTTCTTTGAGTTGAAGCAATTGCTAATTGCCTTGTATTAAAATCAGCGTAATCTGTACCGCATCCCTATGAAAGTGGTCGTCGTTATTAACATCAAAGCATTGGTTGAACTTCGACTCACTGAATTGCCTAAAACTCATGTTATCCACAACAATTCGAACGACGTTTGTAATTTATTCGATCACATTTTTGTGTTCATTCCTTACATTCTGAAAATATGGAATTAATGTATTTTTGATGAAAATATCTTACTGAAAGTTCTCAATTTATTTAATAAATCTGTTCATTCTACGGTAGGAGAAAAATGGTGCTGATGTTTTTTTGAGTTGAAGCAATTGCTAATTGCCTTGCATCAATCTTAAATTTATCTGTAAATATATTGTCAACCGAAAAAGTTCGTTTGCGTATATTATGCAACAAACTTGAACTCAAAGATTACTGATATTTGCTCAGATGTTAGTCATGAAATCGCTAAGTAACTAAGTACATAACTGTTCTTTATTGTAAAGTTTAGCGTTCTTTTTAATCTATTCTGACAATAAAGACGAAAAATGAAAATAAATCTATACTATACTTTTCTATCGTATACAAAAAAAAACGAAAAAAGTTGCCTTTTCTTTTACTCTCATTCTATTAAAAACACTCAAAGGAAACAGATTAAATAGTGCGTAATCTAATTGCACAATAAACATGAAATCAACACGTCCTGAATACAAATTAGAATTAATGAAATTATTGAAAGTAGAATTGAAAGCAAAGGTAAAACAAAAACTAAATATTCGACTTTCTCCAACCATTACCAAACAACAGCTGATTAAACTACTGACAACTCCTTCGCCACCACCTCCAAAACCAAAGAAAAAAGTCGGGGTCCGAACGAAAAAGTCGACAATAAAACGTAAACGTTGTTATTCAACAAAACAATAGAGAGCGTTACTTCTAATATAGCATATAACATTTCAAAATCAGTTAAATTCCCATCACAGCTCGATATATTTTGGCTTTTTTCTTACACATGTTACTTGAATAGTAATTATTATTGGAACGTTCGATAAAAATACTCGCTTTTGTCTGTGCGTGGTTCATGAGAAAAGCAAGTGATACAGGATCCCGTTCTTGAGTTAATGTTACACACGTTTTTTTATGATTCTGCTGTATCATTTTGACTGAATTGTATGACTCTTGTTTAAGACAATTAAATGAATAAGAGAACTAGAAACAGTATCATCTGTTAATTTTTTAACCAGGACATTTACATAACTTTCAACACCATCAACCAGATTACTTGAATTTACTATACAATTTGTTATATCAACAACTCTTTCATCACGATCTTCTGCTAGTAATTAATCGTCGTCCTCAATATCATTGTCTTTAACAATTTTCCAAAATGCTGAATCCGAACGCGGTGGTAGATGAAACATATGGTGTTACTTTTATTATACTTAAACAACTTTTTCAATTCAATAATGACGTTAGCAACAAAGTCTTTGCTGTTCTATGCAACAAACATGAAAAACAAAAAACCAATTCTCTCAATTTCGCAGCTACTTTAGGTTTTCTTTCGTACTGAATTAAGAAAAGAGTGCAGATATTGATGCTGAGGGTTTTATGAATGGCGCTGGTTAGAATGAAGTAAGTATTAGTTTTTAGTGCTATTCCCCAGCAGTAGATAAGTGGTAGGCAGCAATTTTCCGGTTGTGCTGATTTTCAGCAAATTTTGAGAGCATCTCTGTTTATGTGAGAATTTTGCTCATTTTAGCCTACTATGAAAATATTAATTTTTTAATATTTTTTCAGAGACAAATGATTTTTCAAAATCTAAAACTCAGTTTTCTATGGATAACTCGACGAGCTGTAACCACACATATCAGAAAAAATGGAAAAATGTCTGCTCAAGTTTTTAGTTTCGAATACCCTACATGTTCTTATCGTTGGGATATTGATTCATTGGGACTAAGTTCTCCTGGTTAAGGATTAAGTGAAACGAATCTGCAGCGAGAAACCTCTAATGATAAAATAACATTATATATTAGACAATACGTCGCTCTAATGTTGTACACATCTAGTGGAAAGGTAGTTGATCTTAATCATTAGCAATTACAGTTATGTAATGTAGTTGAAACAAAGAAAACGTATATAGAGAATGATGTGAGAAAAGGAGATGACCAGCAGAATTTCCGATAAAAAATATATGTACAACTTCTTCTTCATGTATGTACAGTTTCATTTTTTAAACTTCATATTCTTCGTTGTTTATATTGTTAATATGGATTTTTAAATTATTTTGAGTAGTTTACTTTGATATTAAGAACGTTAGAAAGTATCGAATCTTACATATTCGATATAAAAGGTAAAATAGACAATATTTGTAGCAGAAGTATAGAAGAAGGCGTTCGCAAAAAATTTGACGACTTATTTTAGAAAACGATTATCAGTTTTCTGAGTTATTATACAAATAGTCTTTATTGTTATCGTTTTCTTTGATAAAATTTACTTATTCTCAATTCGGCTGCAATTTTATTTGGGTTATATTTTTTATTCAATTGCAAATACATTGTAAACATGGCGGTTATATGTATAGGGATCATTGCTGCGAACATGACAGCCGTCATGATTGTGACAGGCTGAATGCATGCTATTTCAAAATCTTTTGGTGAAAAGACAGTCATTTCCGGTTCAGTTGTGGTAGCGGTGGTAACAGTTGTGGCTGAAGCAACCAGAAAAAATAAATTAAGATTTCTGTTAATAGAAACAAAACCACTTACTTGATGTGGTTGATGTTGTATCAGATGTTGTGGATGTGGTCGTACTGGTCGTAACGGTAGTCGTTGAGGTCAAAGCTATGCCGGTTGTTGTTAGACCGGGTATGGGCGTCGTTGTCGACAAAGGCTATGAGTAAAAAAGGAATAATGAAACGTTGTTTTTTCTCTACGTTTAATAAAAGAATTTACTCGAGTGGTGACGGTAGGGACTGTTCCAGCTGTGGTGGTGGTTGTTGTTGTACTTGATCGTCTTGAATCCCAAATTGTAAAATTCCAGAACGTGCTACCTTGAAAAAAAACCAGTTTTTAAACTTTTAATACTAAAAATATTGGTTTTTGTTTCTGTGTTACCTGTGATTGGTGCTGATTCCGGGCCGCAGAAAGCTGTGCCAGATGATGCGCCGCTATCGAAATTAATATAATAAAGAGCTCCAGCATCCCAATTCGCATTTTGCACAATAAATACAATTGTTTGATTTGTATAGAAAACATCCGGACTCCAACCACAATCAATCGACCAAACCATAGTACCGTTTTGATGATAAATTTTAATATAGGTACCATTACGATTAGGACGGTGAACAGTAGCAGACGCTAAAAGGAGCGCATAAATACCAAAAAAAAGCTAGCAACATTGTGTTGCGGAGTATAATATACGTATTTTTCCTTTTCGCGTAGACAACAAAAAATTCAATCAAGAACACGAACAAAAGCAGTCACGTGTTAAGTTCCATTTCAGTGCGTAAACTTGATACACATAATTTCCCGATGTTTTTCTTAGTGTTTATTCCAAGAGAGAAAAAAAATGCATGAATTTTACCTTGTATACTGAATACTGATTGATTTGAAAATACGACTCCCACAGGTGATCCAGTTCCTTGAACGGCAATGATAGGTTGAAGATCGGGACTAGTAGCTCCGACAACATACGTAAAGCAGTATTGTGACCCAGATAAGCCATTATTATCAAGTGCGCAGGCACAAAACACTTGGGGACCTATATACCAAAAGTCGAGGTGCCAGAGTTGTAATCGGATCGGCAAATCGGTATCAGGTCGGCTGATTGACCAGTAAACGATCCGATCTGGTTAATTTTTTTAATCGATCGATATTCACCGATTTATTTTTTGAAAAATTGCATGTGTTTTAGCCAAAAAGAACGTGACAAACATAGAAAAGATTTCTAATTGAAGCTGTTATTTTCTCTTTTGATGTTTAATCCCCGTTTCGTCGAAAACTCACTCTCATATTGCTGCGGACGCCTCTGAAATTCTTTGAAGTATATACTTTTATACTTACTAATTTTCGAAAAACTTCGAAAGATCACCGACTTTTGCCAATCGTTTGTGGATCTGATGCTGATTTCAAGTGGGACCACTTATCGGTCGAGCCGATCTGATTCAAATTTTTTCAATCGGTTACAACTCTGCGAGGCACATTAATGAGTTAGAAATTCTAAATTATCTGTGTTTTCTATTTACCAGCTTGGTCTAATATCGGTGTCCAAGTGAGTGTAATACCAAATTGCATGTGTCCGTCACTATTTAGTCCCATGTTTGTTATTGTGGACGATTTTGTCATGTATAACGGTGACGTTGTTATAAATTCTACAATGCTATCGGTATTACAATAGACTTCAGCATAAACTTGTTCACTGAACTGAACACCAGGTGTAGCAGCTATAAACAAACATGCAAAAACAATCTATGACTTCTGTATTATTAGGCTGATTTGGTTCCATCATTCTACTTACCAATACATGCCCGATTAGGTCTAGCTCCAATAACTTGTGGTGGGCCATTCGCACATGCGCCAGGACCGGCACTATAGACATAAATAACCATTTGTAGTGGTACAGCACTTAGCGCTGATCCACCAGTACTCAGAAAATCTTCGACCATGATGGCAGCTATATATGTAGAAGCTGTTTGGCCCGTTTTAAATACAGCATTCCATTCTATGGTACAATCAGATGCAGAAATATTTGCACTTGTTAACATTCCACACACATCACCACATTCATCAAAAGTATTCGCGAAACGACATTTCAAAACTTGACCAAGATCCCAATCAGCAGCTGGAATTTGAATAATAGCTTGTGTATTAACCAAAACACGTATAATAGGTAATGAGCCAGTAACTATAGACAGAAGAAGAAAGCAGTATTGGATTATTATAGATAAATTTCCTTTCTACCTGGTGATGTATTAATCGGTGTTCCCAATGTCAAATCTATTTTGGTAAGAACGCTCCATCTTGCGTTTCCACTTGGATCTACATCAGTTGACCACGCTGATCCCGTCCAACCTACCCAAATATTTGTTGTTCGATCTAAATATTGTTTTTCATACCAAGCACCACTACTAATTGTTAAATTATTACTAAAATCTGTACAAAGTGTAATATGATCAATGGGTGTGAATGGTGAGCACGACGAGACACTGCTTGATTGACAATCAACGGTAGGAAAACCCGATGTTGAACCTGCAGTATCATCATAATAAAGACCTTGCGTATTTATTGTATTTGCATCACAAAAATAACGACCTAATGTCCATGAGTGTTTTTCTGTGATAAGTATTTCCACAGGATCAGCTGTGGAATAAGCATCTGTCGGTTTCCATGTAATTGTTCCACCTTTATAATGCATACACTCAACTTGACTTGATAAGAAAATAAAAATGACTAATAAAACCCGGATCATCAAAATGAACGACGAAGATCTATGACAAAGCAATACAATGATAAACAGGAATACGTAACAACAGACACTCCAAACGTTTTTTCATGTACTATCTACAATATATACGGTTAATACTCTATAACGAAAAAACTTTTCTAGTGTTCAATCTATTTAGCTTTCAGTTGTTAACTTAGCATTACTGTCTAATAAATCTATGCGTTCGATTTGATTAAATTTTGAAGAAAAAACAACTTTTCAGGATATGTTAATGTATATTTTCCTCATCGCCGAAAACCAGTATAACTGTATTTATAACACTATAATAGTATTTATAACTGCCTCATTCTGAAAAGTACTATCAACTTAAAATAGCAGTTAATTAGCTAGCTGACTTTTGGTGCATTTTGTGGTGTGAAATGCCAATTATAACTTCACTTTCTTCGGCTTTTGATTATTATTGTTATTAGAACATAAAATAATAGTTAAATAAGGAAGAAAAAGAAAACAAAAACGATAAAAAAATTTTTCTACATTCGAATATAAAGAGAATATTATTTATTTGTTTTCATGAAGAGCGCAGAATGAATGAGTGAGTACTCTGGATAGCAACTAATAATACCACTAGCAATAGTTAATTCGGAAGATAAATCAATAGTTACAACCAAGGAGAAATTTAGCTATCGGTCGATTACTATCGTTACTAAATAGTTGCAACCACGTAAAATCCTAGTAAACAAGATGAATTGAACGATACTCGATCTTTTTTATGCTTTGGCAGTGACCTTCTCGCCACTCGTTATTATTATTGTTACTGAAGCATAAAACAACAATCCTTATTCAAGTAAGAACAAGAAAGAGAACAAAAAACCATATACATTCCAATATAAAGTGGTTAATGTTCGTTTTGACTTAAAAGTTACAGTATTTGTCTGCATCATTACAAATAAAAGCGAGAGAATTTTTAAGTCTTATGAATGTCTTTTTAAATTGGTAATTTAAGAGCGAGTGTACGAAAACGATAAAAAGGCAAACTTAATTAATCAGCATTTTGCCTCAGTTTCTTCAATGAGCCAAACGGATTATGATGCTTTTATTCATGAGAATCAGTTGCCATTAGCAAAATCATATTTTGATATATCTGGCATTTCGTCTGACGAAGTTGAGTACACTCTATCTAAGCTTGATGTTAATAAGGCCACTGCTCCTGGTGTTAATAATAGATTTTTAGACAATCAGCAATTATTATTTCTGACATTGTTACCCTCATATGCACTCTTTCATTTGCTACGGCTTCCTTTTCAAAAATGTTTAGAATTGGATTTATTAACGCGATTTTTAAAGGAGTAGAGCACTGACTAGTTAATAATTATCGACCTATCACCCTTTTGCCAGCTATATCGAAGGTAGTAGAAAACATTATGTATCGTCGTTTATATAACTATCTTGTTGAGAACAAGCTTTTATCTATGCTACAGTCAGGATTTATTAAGGGCGATTCAACAGTTAACCAACTCGTTGATCTAGTCCACTCTATATATGAAGACAAAGAAAATGATAGAAGCATCCGGACTGTACTTCTTGATTTTCAGAAAGCATCTGATAAAGTCTGACATCAGGGATTATTATATAAATTGAAGCAAAAAGGTGTCAGTCCATAATTGCTAGCTTAGTTCCAAGACTATTTATCTGCTAGAACAATAATCACAGTTGTGAAAGGACAAACATCTCGGACATCGAAAATAAATCGAGGAGTTTCACAAGGGTCGATACTCGGTCCGCTCTTATTTCTGATATATATCGACGATATCGAACATGATTTAAAGAGCTCGTCTTTTTGCTGATGATACATTATTATATTTTTCCGATAATGATGACGATATAGTAATGAAAGTATTAAATGAGAATTTTAAAAAAGTTGAGGAATAGTCCAGCTTGTGGATGTTGCCTCTGAATCCTCCCAAGTGTGTTAGTACGTCATTTGGGAAAAGAAATATTTCTTCTTCTATATGCTTAACTATTTCAAATCACTATCCACATCAAAAGAAATGTGGATACTCACAAATACTTAGGTGTTTACCATGACATCAAACCTTTCTTGGGATACACACATAAAATATGTGACTTCCACACAGTGGGCAATTTTTGATAGGTATGTGGGCATTTGTTCTAAAATCAATCCATAAGCCAGCAAACACGTTTTTTATAGGTTTTCAGATGTGCTCTTTCCAATGGAATACGTTGCGAAACTCAAAAGTGTGTGGGTGTGGGTTTTCCAGAAAGCCCGGGTCTTTTGAAAAACCAAATGTGCTAAAAAATGTTCATAATCTCGAGAAATTAATTTTTTTGTATGTTATGCGATGCCCAGATTGTATTTATATTATCAAGAAAATTTCATATTCTTGTGTGAGGTTTTCCGGAGTTCCGGATTTCTGGAAAACCTAATTTTATAATAAAACTAGAAGCCCTGAGTTAGTGCTCATAGGTTTTCAGAAATAACCTTTTCAGTGTCATGATCCAAGATCTTTGAGAAACTTTGCTTGATTGATTAGTGCCCACCACCACCCCTTGGCCTTTGGTTTTATAGGCCAAGTCACTAAACTTGAAAATAGTGTGAGAGATTCATTTTCTGTTTTTAACGAAAAGAAGTACGACAAGCGAACTGATACGAAAAAAAGAAAACTATGAAAAAGATCAAAATCATCTTGCTAATTGACGTCAGGGAAACAACTCACCCGTTCCGTGGAAGATCTAACCATGCACGCTAGCCCAATAAATGCTGCTCGCAGACACTCCAGTACATCAGACCAGAGGGGAACCGACGCAAGGTCACAAGTCTGGCTATTCTGGCGCACTGGAGCATCCTAAAGGACTCAGTTCCTATCCGTAATGCATGAGACCACTAACATGTAGACGAATTTAGAACATCATTGTCCCCCTGCGCTCTCAGTAAACCACCTTTTCGCAGGGTGGGAGACCAGGTACAACCACAAAACAAGCGGCCGATAACTGTGGCCTGGGTAGAAAGGCTTTGTGGCTGCTCGAGGAGGTCCTCACAATTGAAATCTCTGAGCTAAGCCTTCAGCTGTACCCTCAATCATCGGTCGTCATGTACAAATCCGAAAGAACCAGAGGCCAAATTCCGACATCATAACCGCCACCTAACCTGACCATACAGCATTACCCTAGTTTAAGGTCGTGGAGGACCCATAGTTTAATGTCATTGCGGACAGCGGTCAAAAACCGTTCCATAATTAATTATAGCACTAGGTTAAGTTGAAAATTCTTTTCGAAAAAACAGTTGAAAGCTACATCATTTGATGTAGATTTTCATGCTGATTCCAACTATCATATTAATTTTCAATAAAAGTGTTTCTGGACCGAGAAAATTATAAAATATCTTTAAAAGACTTTAAAAAATGAAGGGTTTCTTGAAAAATGTATAACTCGGTTCAGAATCATTTGGGCACTGTTTGGCATGCACTATAGTTGTATTGTGAGTAGAAGAATATTCTGTGAAAGTTTCGTCGAATTTGGATGATGGCTAACGATGGCGCGCTTATTTTACTGAAGAATAGCCATTTGGGTGACACATAGCGTGGAAAGAAAAAACTGGTTTA